TTCATACTGTAAGACGCTGTGTTCTGAAATCGATACGCCGGCAATTTATCGCGCGCTGTCCGCTAGATGAAAGATGCATTAAAAGCTCGGAATAATACAGAAAGGGAAAGACCCCGCGATTAAGCGAGGGAGGAGGAGGGAGGCGGGTGAGGGGGGGGATGACGGCGGTTTGTGGGACGTCGACAGTATCGCGCCGGGGAATATTAATCGGAGCTTCGTCGACAAGGGGATTGGATAGTTTCCGAGGCTGGGATGAATAGATAACGGTATAAATTACCGAGAATTACAGTTTTCGATTGTGAGAATTAAAGTTGGATTTTATTTCTATGAAATTTGTTTCATGGAACCTTCACCTTTCCACCACCGGTTTTGCAACCGGAGGCGAGAGAATGAGGATTTTGCAAAACGAATTCATAGAAACGAACCTTCGCTCGCGTCCTCCGGGCCGAGAAGGTGAGGGGTGTTTTTCCCCACCTATCTACCGAAATAGAACGTGAGCCGTGACCTAATTGACGTGTGCCGCACGCGTTGCCTAGGAAGACATTAATGCAACGAACAGGGAATGACGCCTTGCATACGTTATGCGGTCGTAAATTAGCGAGCGGCGACGACACGCGCGATTATTTCACGAGCGGCAACTCGCACATGTTCTCAGATACTGGTCTTCCCATTAGGCCTTTTCTTCCCACACCTGAGCGAACACGACTCGCAAAATTATATACCTGTAAATCTCATCCGAGATATGACAAAGCATTCTTTCCGCGTAATTATGCATAATTTTTGTTTTTTTCCCTTTTCCTCTCTGCAGTTCTTTTGCGGTTTCGTTTGACACTACTATACTTCTCTGATCTGAAAGATATTATGTCACTCCTAGAACACTTCTCTAATCTGAAAAATATTAAACTATTATGTCGTGTTTCATGAATCAAAATAGCGAGCGATGATATCAAGCTGTTATGTTACACAAGGGAACCTCTGAACACTTCCGCGACATTATCTACTAGGATAATATTTACGTATTGAACAATGGTCTTACTGTAAAATATTGACTTAAACAAAGCTCGTAAATAATGATTCGCTATTGACATGAAATTTGACAACTATGTTGTATTCCAATTAAAAGCAATTAACTTTGAAAATTTGAAAGAATTAAACGTAACTGTTGTATATTAATAACGCGATGTATAAAATCATTCTTCGAAGAACTATTGTAATATTCCAGAAAAAAATTTTTAATAACATAACGATGTTATTTTACTTCGATCGGAACAGTGATAAAAAATTTTATATTTTCTCCGTGAGAAGAACGAGTTTAACGATGAATATTAATTCTAAGATTATAAAGACGTAAGCGAAGCTAACTATCGAACTCGGTAAACGATTCATTCAATCGGTAAAATATGTAATAAGTTTCCAGAATCAATTTTACATATCTAAGTCATTTCATAATTTCACAAAAATAATAAACAACTTGAAGCAAATTACAGAATGATAATGTTTTTTAATCTCACGTCAGCAATATACGAATTCAAGTGATTACCAAAGTTCTGGTACATTATATTGTTTTAACACGTTAGAAATGTTATGTCATCATGACGATAATACATTGGACTGACAAACACGTATGTATTAACATGCATAATTTTAAACAGTATATAACGTTTCATATTCGCGTAACGTGTAAAAAGAGCCTCCGTACGCTACCTGCATTACGAAACACGTTCAATAATTTGTTTGACATTCGCCACAGAAACGGCGGTCGCAAATTAAATTCTGTTTCTCTTCATGCGCGCATGTTAAATTCTAAATTACATATATTATATTGAATTATAAGTACTTTTTTATATATACTAAATTCTGCTTATCTTGTTATTTATTTATCTTTATGCAAATTTATACTTTGAGATCATTGTCTGAACAAACATAATCGTTCCCATAATTTTTTGAATACTAAATACGATGTTATTTATCAATTGCTTCATCACATTTTTGACAAACAAGTACAAAATCCGATTTTAACGTTGTAACATCGGCATTAATTTTTTTTTCGTTAATATCACGTGAAAGTATAACTTTCAGCTTTAAAATACATTTTGTTTCGTTTCGATATAACTTTTCGTTTTCGAGATATACCGCATTGAAAATAGTCATATTGTATTGTCAATTTCATATTGCTTTTTGATTTACTGTTGATATGATCCGAGCATAGTATTATGTAATCGCAAAAGCACTTACTTTTCATATATACAGTGCCCGCCAAAAATTCAGAGCCAGCTGAATATCTCGGAAAAAATGCATTTTTAAGAAAAATGTTTCAGATAAAAATTGTAGGGTTTAAAAAGATTTATTTAATGATCTTATCAGTTTGAACTTAGATAGCATTGCCAATGTCAGATCAAGGCCATTGACTTTTTTCATCGATTTTTTTAAATTGGACACTCTATATGATAACGCTTTTTAGATTTTTACAGATATTATCTTCAAAGATATCAGAAAATTATCTCCACGTTTTTATCTATTATTAATGCTAACGTTTTCGTAAGCCTTGCCGTTCACTTCAGTAGGACAAGACACACACTGGACACCCTATTTTTGATTCCAAAATCTATTAGCCAATGTTAAAAACTTTTCAAAATGCTACAATAAAGTTCATTTTTATTAAGTATTTTTTGAGTTACAATGCTTAAGTTATAATGCTTAAAAGTTATAGTATTGCTATTCTCATTTTTACATAAAAAATGAATTTGCTAAAAATAAGAGAAACAATGACTTTGATCTTAACAAATGTTATCCAGGGCACAATTCTGAATAATATTCAAGAGGTTTTAGTTCTCCGTCGGTCGAACACCTTGGATAATACTAACAATGGCAATACAGTAACTTTCAAGCATTATAATTCGAGTAATACTTAATGAAAATGAACATTATTGTAGCATTTGTTTTTGACTTCGGCTATTAGATTCTGGAATAAAAAATAGGGTATCCAATTTAAAAAGGTCACTCAAGGTCAAACTGATGAAATTTATTAAATAGATCTTTTTAAACCCAACTTTTGCCGCCTAAAACATTTTTCTCAAAAATGTTACTTACCGAGATATTCAACTGGTTCGGAATTTTTGGCGGGCACTATACATAAATATGCAGTGTTAAAATGGAATAAAAAGCTTTTTCCATGTATTGCATGGGAGGAACCATTTTCAAATTGCTATATTTTGAAAAATTATAGCGAAACAAATTAAAACATTTTAAAGTTAAAAATTGATCTTTTGCATGGGGAGGAGAGCATTAATAAAATTTAGAAAAAAATTTGCTGTGTTACAACATAAAAATCCTCAAAATTATTTTTTTTCGCCTTCTTAATGTCATTTTTTTCAAAATTGTAATGTGAGAGCTAAATTTAAAGAATGGATTTGTATTCATGGCAAAAAAAACAAATAAAATTATTAAATAAAATATTTTATCGCAAACTAGTATTATTACAACGAGCAAAAACAACGAGTAAAACAATTTTTATGCTTTATGTTTTAAAATTAGATCGATTAGATTTAACAATGTAACTTCTATTGTTTAGAGATAAATGGAGATAATTAATGGAGAGAATACTCAGATTTATAATTCGCGTTTGTTGATTTGCATTATTTTACCATAACACCGAAGCCACAGTGATGCAACATGTCGCACGTATTTGATAACACATTTCTGCATTTATTCATGCATAATACTGCATCAGCTACGTTATAGAGATTGCATGCATTTCATTCGATTGGTAGTCGCAAGTGTTCATAATTCATCCGCTTGTCACCCCAGTGCGACTTCACGATATCTACCATTGTACAAACCGCATTTAAATCGGGACATAAAGATAAATTATTTTTTGTGAACAGTCTCTTTTCAGGATATCACCGTACATGTCGTTTGTGTAGTCAATAAAAACTCAGAGAGGAAAGCAGCGACATTTTACTGAATTAAAATGTGACATATTTGTAATACATATCTCGCTGAGAAAAAAATTCTGCTAATTAAAAATTACATACTGGATAAAGATTATGTTTGCATTGTTATTGTAGTAAACTACATCACGAAAGCATGTTGGCGTAACATTTTACGAATAGAAAAAATTAAACAATATAGGTAAATAAAAAATATTAAAATAAAACATACTGCAGTATATTCATTTTCTGTATTTACGTTTTTCTATCTGTATACGTATCGACTTGCACATCATCTCATCGTTTGAGAGCGGTAGTGCTCGTAGTTTTTGCTAATTTGTCCGATATCGAAAGTCAGTTACACTGCTGGCGTTCCCGTTACGTAAATATGAACAATACAACATAAATATAAATTGAATATTTCGAAATTATATAAATATAATTTCGAAATTTTCGCAAATTATATAACTATTATTTTGAGACATTAACAAATATATCATTTCGTCGTTTTGGAATCATTCAGAAAAATATAGAAACAGCAATAGAAAAATAGGAAAAATTGACAAAAATTCTTCCTATGAAGTGATAAATTTTTATTTTGTAAAAATAGCGAGTTTTTATTTGTGCCAATAATAAAAAAAATAAAAAAGGATAAAAAAGGCTTAAATATTATATTTGAAGACTGATCCTCTTTTCAGTATAGAGATACTGAAAAAAAATTTCACAACATAAATTCATATTAATCTAATTATTTTTGTAGATCGAATATTGTAAATATAAAATAGGCATATCGTTGACGTTGAAAAACGTCTCGCTGTCGTAGCTGTTCGAAAAGATTCGCAGTTTCACGAAGAAAGGAAGGATATCTCTCGAGGACTCGTTTGCATCTCATTGCATTGAGACAAAATGCGCACATCTTTCGTATCATCTCAGAGCGCTAATTCTACTACGTCTCTATTGTGCGAACGTATAATTCGACGTTGCGTTAGAAGACAGATAATGCGAATACCAGTGCGGAAAAAGGGGGAGAATAAGAGGCAAAGTCAAACAGCGACGAGAGTCTATTCGCAATATTAGTCGCGCGAATTGCGTTGTGTCCAAATGCCGTGCTAAACCTACGCGCGCGGTGCAGACTTTGCAAAAAAAAAAAGAGAGAGAAAGAGAGAGAGAGTTTTGTTTAATCGTTTCCAATTACGCACGTGTTGTCATTCCATGTACGTCACATCAATGACATCGCATTCTTAATAAATGCGCCCCGCCCGCGTATCGTACTATCAGTGTAAGGTAAATGACATACTCATTAATAGTAACGTATGTAAAATATAACCACAATAGATCGAACATAAGTGATGATTATATAATAAAACTTTTTTCTACGTCTATTCCGATAAGATCCTTTAAGTAAATGCACAATTGGTTCGTAAACTTTTATGCTCATCCTAAAAGCATCGAATTTACATTCTTAGATATTTTTTTTAACCTTCATATGTGCCAACATGAATTAGTCTATTTCTGGAGTTAGTTTCAAAGTAAACAATGTCCATATTAATGTATGCACTCAATAAATAATAAAATATAATACATTTGAATTAAATTTAATACATTTTCTTGAGTTAAATTATTTAACTTCATTGTTCTAATTAAATTAATGATATATTGAATATAGAACTTATAGAAATGTAATTTATAGAAATCATTAAAAACAACTTAAATTGCGTATAATTTGATATTATGAATTTAACAAGACAAATATGAATTATAATTGTCGTATTAATGTGTCAATTTATTTAAAGACTCTTAATTATTCTGATTGAACGTGAGAAAATCTTGGCGCGTGTTTTTCAGCAATTTCGTGACAGAAGATTTAACTACATATATTCAAAACGTAAACACTGGTGTCTAAAAAAACAACAGTTACATGCAACAGGCAAAAATTTATTTCTCTCATTTACTTTGTTTGAGTAATAGATTTATAATTATTTTATCTGAAATTTTTTTATCTTTATTTCACTTCAACACAAGGTCAAAATGATTATATATCAAAGTTGATATAAGTTATTATCAAATTATATATATAATTATAAATTATACATATATTATATATATCAAATTATTATATATCATTTATATAATACGATATTGATATCGTACATATTTAAAAATCAAGGATTATGTTCGAATGATAAGAATTGATGAACGATTGCGTGTGTATGAATAGTGAATGTGATTTTAATATAAAACGTTTCTCAAACCTTGTCTACGAACGTGCCTGGCATGCTTAAAAATTAATCATTATTTCCAATCATAATTGTGCTGCTTCGGAAATTTTTAAGCAAAAAATATCATGACAAACTTCCCATTTTGGATTCCATTGTTTCGCACGACGAGCATAAGAAATATCTTCTATATTGAGGAAAGACTTAATGTTGATTAAATATTCTGAGTACGCTACATAAATGGTTCAATATGCGTTACATATAGCCGCGTAGGAGTTCCTAATAAGTCACTTAATAGCTCGAAATTCTTAAAACTATTGTGGACTCAAGTTGATATATTAATTATTTCCGTGAAATTACAATACAATGTCAAGCTTTACAAAGAAAATCAACATCGTTGATAGTATCAATGACACTGAACGTACTTCCGAGTTTTCAGCTTAATAAACTGCGCTGGCAAATAGCTGCTCGTGCCTGGCATACACGTCCTTCTTGCGATTTAAATTAATTCGCGACACTCGCTTATTGTTATGACCACGATTGTGTCATTTCAATCTCGTATCATTTATGCACGTATAATAGTGATGCAACGATCAAGTCGGTTAATAACAGAAAGGTAACTGATCGCGAAGAAATATTGATATATTTTCCTTCTTTTATGTTTCTATTTGATAATAAATCTGAAGCATAGTTCAATTTATTATATTATCTTCAAGGAAATTGCTTATTATTTGAAAAATAAATTAAATTGCCTCCAGTTATACCTGGGAAAATGTAGATAGAGATCAGATTTATATTTAGAAGTTGAGAATAATATTTAGAGAAAACATCATATTGTTTTATCATGCTGTTCTATCATTCTGCTTTATTAAAATTTTTTAGAAATTTATTTTGAACTATTTGAGTTATAAAAATATTTCGCACTAAAAAAGTTGAAACAATGTTAAAGAAAATCGTGTGCAGTGAAATTTTCGCTACAAACTTTGAATTAGCCGAAGAAGTCGAAGATGAAAGATAGCATGAGAAATCTGAAGCAACTCGCATAAAGTTAAATAACATTATGCATTCAAGAGCAAACGTTCGTCAATGCAGCTTTCGTGGAATGAGAACTTAGAAAGATGAGAAGATAATCTAACAACAGTTTCCGCATTAAGCATATGCGTGGAATCAAGTCTAATAGCTAGAAATAAAATCATCGCGAAAATGATACACAATTATGATTGTTGACCGATTATACACAGAAGATATAATAATAAATACACAGAAAAAAGAAATACATCAAGTTTCCCACATTTTTTTATCCGTCTCATTCAATTCGTAGATTGCGATTGCCTTCCAGTAACTAATTTTTAAATCGATCTATTTAAAAAAAGAATTTTTATCTTCAATATATCGTCTATAATATTTTTTTTATAATACGAATTCTCAATTTTATTATTTGCTTTGATACGATAATAAAACGAAAAAAAGCATTCCACTGGCGTGGCGATTTTTCTGAACATACATTGAACTGATAGAACTTCGCAAATATAGGAATATAGGTCATGGATATCCCGAGTGATCTTTGATGCTCAAATTTTCAATATTAGATACTTTCAATATTGATCAGATATCAATATATTTTGCAAGAGATACAAAATAAAAAACGAGTAATCTTCTTCTGATATGAATAATAAGCAATACATATTGAGCATATGCGTTTACTTTTATTATT